CTCTCTTGCTTACACACACACACACACACACGCACGCACGCACGCACGCACGCACGCACGCACGCACGCACGCACGCACACACACACACACACACACATCAATTACCTTGTAAAGATTCGATAACTTCTATATAGCTTCGTGAGAAAGACGGAATTTCCATTTCGATGGACCACGTACAGTTCCAAATAAACGTTTATTTTAATAAATTTTTGTTAATTTTAATGCAGACGTTATCACTAACTGACACAGATCAGATTACTTTAGGTTTGTATGGCGATTTGCCAGTTATGACACGAGAATGTTGTCCATTTTTCTCAAGTGGACACACTGCGTTGAAATCCTTTAGAAACAACTCGCGATCCGGGCACCACGGCTCCGCGATTTTGGACTTGTTGTTAATTTGCTCGTGATTAAGTTCGCCCAACTTTGACTGCATCATTAAATGCATTCTACGCGCAAATTGCATGTCTTTATAAGCTGGCGTTCCTTCAATCCATGGCTCTCCGTCGTACCAACTAATAAAGTGTTGTATAGTCGAGATATACCTTGCAAGTTAATTACATTATTAGAATCAATTTAACAAAAAGTACACATTAATTGGTAATATTATGTCACAAATTAATATATAATACCATATAATAATAATGTATCAAATGTAATCAAGAGAAATAATAAAAATATAATATTAGTAAAATAAAAAAAATTATAAAATAAAAATCTATAATATTGATAAATACTACACTAAATATCAAATAATTTTGCGAAAAATTGGTAGCGTTTAGCAGAAAAAAAGCATTGCAACTGTTTAGTTTTTTTATTGAGGGTGGCACTCAATTGATCACGTTACGATTAAATACAAGTCAATCGCAGCGCTTGAAATTAGAAAGCCTCTAAGCACCGGCCGCTGTGAGTGGTTGTGTCCAATCGTAACGCGATCAATCGGAATCCTCCCTTTGAACTTTGATTGATTCTCTTGCTCTTATATGTATAATAAAGTTGTGTTGGACTCGGAATTATATTTAAATATTTAATATTGATTACCCATGTTTCTAATGTTAGCAAAATTTGTTTCCAAATGATTAATTATCTCTTTAGAAGTATCCCTGTTATTAAATCACCACAAAATACGTCATGATGATAACTCAAATATTTGATTTAATAACTGCAGACACATTCTCAAAGAAATAATTAATAATTTGGAAACAAATTTTGCTTTTTGCTAATATTAGACGGTCTTTAATATTTAATGAATATAATTTCAAGCGCGCCGCCGCGCGCTAGGCGACCGTGTGATTGGTGCGGCACGGTGGTGGGGGGGAGGGGACGAGGAATTATACGATCTGTCGGTTAAACAGTTGCGGTATGTACATTTCAATATTTATTCTTTCTAGAAATTTCTGTATATGTTTCTTTGACCTTCTAGCAGCAATATTGAAGAAAGCAAATGTGCTTCTTCCATGCGATACATTTAGTATGAAGTGATTCGTGATACAGAATGGATCAGTCCATGGCAACAGTATTATTTCATAAGTCGATCACAAAAATTGTTGGAATTACTGAGATTCTTTTGCAACAAAGATTTCCGGTAAATATGAAAACAAAGGATCTTTTATATACTCATTAAAACGTGCCAATATTATATTCATTTTGATTTGACAATTTTATAATAATAAAAAAACAAAAGGCAATATTACATTTGCCTCACATATTTTTAAGATTTTTTATAGTAAAGTGCCGAAAATTTGGAGTGCCTCACGAGGGCTCAAAATTACATAGATTTGTATAATTTGGATAAAATATTAGAACTACATGTACATTTAATGAAATAATATAAAATAAACGATATTGCTACCCCGCGCGACAATGAAAGAAGATAGGAAAGTGTGGTACAATGTAGAGTGCTAGTAAGGTAACGTTATGCGATATTTTGGTATTTTAACCATCTTATAAATTGAAATTTCTATTTGTTAAGGAATTATACGATTATATTCAAAGAAGTTTATGTGAAGAAATCTGTCTCTCTCGATCTCTGAAAACAACGTTAGAAAGTAAGTCCAGAATTCTCGAGTTATCAAGCCTCGACGGAGATTCGCCGCTCAGAGTTACCGGCAACTCGAGGATCGCGCCGATTTCGCATGTCACGCGCCTACACGTGATCAGACATCCCTCTCGAGCGTGATCGACGTGAAGTCGACCCTGTGCGCGAGGGAAAGGCAAGTCAGTCGTCGTAAGAATTTGGCTCTTGTCGGTCGATGCCACGTCGCGTTGAATGAGATCGCGAGGGCGAAGCTGCGTCGCGACAAGATCTCCGTTCGCGGTCAAGATCTCCGGACTCGCGGGATGGACACCTGGTCCATTCTCACAAGATCTCCGTCCGCGACCGATCTGCAGCAATCTAATCGCCCTTCAAGATTGTCCGTACTATCGCCGTCCTTGACCGAACTCCGTGGCATCGCCCGCGCGATATATTGTAAGTGCGCGACCAATCTTGTATGTAACGTTCGAGTTCTGCTGTGAGTGAATAAACAAATGGAGTGACAACTCATCTCTTTCTGATTGCTCCCCTCAGTTGACCTATTCCCTTCCCGCTCCACTCGGGGCGGAACCGGTCCCTCAAAACTTCGCCGGAACGAACAATTCTCGAACGCTCCGCAACATAAATTTGGTCCTTCGAGCCGGATAGAAGTGAATAGCGTCCAACTCTCACTCTCAGTGACGTTCAAGTGACTGTGTCGAATCTCTCAAAATGAGTGATCTCATAATAAAGCAGCAATCTTTGCTGCACACTCTCGCTTGAGCATTAGACAATTTCAAAAAAATCGGGAAAAATAATTATACTCCCGCAAAAATTCGGTCGCGCATCGCCACTCTGAAAGAAACGTGGGTAGAATTTCGACACGGGCACGCCGCGCTTCTTCAAGCCGTTCCAAAGGATAAACGCGAAGCCGTGGAGTACTTCAATGAAGATAAACTCGAGGTTTACGAAGAGGTCTACCAAACCGCAGCGGATTACATGGCTGAGTGTCTTGAAGAAATCGAACCACCTGTGAGTCCGAACCGATCAGCGGAATTTTCGTATGTACAACCCGAATCGTCCTCCATATCGTTGAAGCATCTTCCGCCTATAAAACTGCCACCGTTTTCCGGAAAGTTCGAAGAGTGGGAGACGTTCCGCGACCGATTCAAAACCCTTATCATTCACAATCGAGAATTATCAGATTTCGCGCGCATGCACTTCTTAGCATCCAGTCTCACCGGTCCAGCACGCGACGCGATCGAGAGTACCGAAATTACTGCAGATAACTTCGCCGTGGCTTGGGCAGCCCTCTGTACGCGGTACGAAAATAAGCGGCGATTAATCGACATTAACGTGTCAATCTTGTATAATCTACCGCCCATTACGCGCGAGTCTCCCGCGGATTTACATGCGTTGCGTGACAAAGCTGAAAAGGCGATAGCATCTCTCAAACGATTAGATCGAGCTCCTGCCGACATGTTAAATGACATTCTCGTCTATTTCTTATCACAAAAGTTAGATCCAGCCACTCGAAAGGCGTGGACTCTAAAATCAGGCAAGCACTCGGAGCCTTCGACCTACGAAGATCTGTGCCGGTTCATATCCGCGCGTGCGTCCGCACTTGAGGAGTTAACGCCGAGCAACTCGTACAAGTCAACAAAATCTACGAAAGTTCTCTGCGCAACTACGTCATCGGTCCCCTCGGCAGCATGCCCATTATGTAAGGAGCGTCACTTTATCAATAAGTGTCCACAATTTATAAATAAGAGCCCGAGTCAGCGCCGCGACATCGTCAAGGAGGCCAAGCGGTGCGAAAACTGCCTCAGTACAAAGCATGACGTAATGGCATGCCCGAGTAAATACGCCTGCCGAAACTGTCAACAAAGGCATCATTCAATGCTTCATATCGACTCGATCTCGTCCCTTGAAGCGAATCTAACGCTAATCGCCGAAAATCAGCCGTCTCAAAGTACCGATACTCAACAAGTTCGCGCATTATTCTCGTCCTCGGCATCGCCGTCTCTGCCTCCAGTATTGCTAGCGACAGCTCGAGTCACGGTCTCCTCATCGTCCGGACGCAGCGCAAGCATTCGAGCACTCCTTGATCAGGGCTCCGAAGCCACCTTCATATCCGAAAACCTCGCTCAATTGTTACGACTACGACGGAAGAAAATGCCTGTCTCGATTACGGCCGTCGGTTGCGTTAACGCGGGATCATGCCGCTATGGCACTCAGATAATCATCACGTCGCGTCACGACCCCAGTTCCGTATTCACCACCACGGCCTTAATCTTAACTTCACTGACCACATACGCTCCGAGACACTGCTCTCGCGCCGCTGCTTGGCCTCATATCGCAGATCTCAGGTTAGCAGACGATAATCCGATGAGTTCAGAACCGATAGATCTTATTATCGGTGCAGATTTATATAGCAACCTAATTCTCGACGGCATTCGAAAGGGCTCGCCGGGTCAGCCAATAGCTCAGAACTCCTGTTTCGGCTGGATTCTGTCGGGACCGATTACCCTTCAAAACACATATACTCGTCATATTGCCACTCACCACTGTTCTCTTGAACAAAGCTTGCGGCAATTTTGGGAAATAGAAGAAATTCCCAGACAAGCGGCATTAGCTCCCGAAGAACAGCTCTGTGAAACGCACTTTATCACAACTCATACACGCTCGCCCGACGGACGTTACTGCGTACGGCTTCCATTCAAGGAAGGGCCGCCGATCGCAATCGGCGAATCTCGCTCAATCGCCGAACGCATGCTTCTTTCGTTAACTCGTCGGTTCAAAGCAAATCCGGAACAAAAAACCGAATACTCCGAGTTTCTTGCCGAGTACGAGCAGCTCGGGCACATGTGGAAGGTTAACCCCCCTTCGCTACCCTCTAATCAATATGTCTACATACCGCACCATCCCGTAATTCGCGAAACAAGTATTACGACAAGATTAAGGGTAGTTTTTAATGCCTCCAGTCTGACAAAAAATGGCACTTCATTAAATCACCATCTTCTCGCGAGCCCAAAATTACAAAGTGATTTACCCGCCGTCCTATTGCGCTGGCGCCAATATAAATATGTATACAGCGCCGATATCGCCAAGATGTACCGTCAAATTCGAATCGATCCGAGAGACGTGGATTATCAGCGAATCTTATGGATAGGAGACGACTCTAATGCGATATCGGAGTATCAATTGCTCACCGTTACGTATGGAACAGCCACCGCTCCGTTTCTCGCGCTTCGCGTGCTTAAACAACTCATCACGGATGAAGGTGACGCGTTTCCACTAGCCGCGCCGGTGCTCCGCGACAACACTTATGTAGATGATCTCTTATTCGGCGCGGACGATATCTCCACACTCCGTCACACTCGCGCCCAAGTATGCGCTCTGCTAGCGCACGGCGGATTCGAACTAAGAAAATGGGCGAGCAACTCATCCGATCTTTTAGCCGATATTCCTCCAGACAACCATGGACTGGCGTGTAGCAAGTCCTTGCAATCCGACGACAAGTTAAAGATTCTAGGGATTAATTGGAACCCTTCTGTCGACGCGTTTCAAATTCAGGTTGACCTCCCGGATGCCATGCCCAAAACCAAACGTACAATCTTGGCCACTATCGCTCGCTTATTCGATCCACTCGGGTGGGTCACTCCCGCGACCGTGGCAGCAAAGGTATTCATGCAACAATTGTGGCGTTTAAAATTAAACTGGGACGACATCATACCTGAGTCGACTCTACTTCGGTGGAAGTCTATCTACACTACTCTATCCGCATTGAACGGCCAAAAAATTTCGCGTTGGACGGGTCAAGACTCGGATATATCGCGTTGCGAGCTTCACGGCTTTGCCGATGCATCCACGGTAGCCTACGGAGCAGCCGTCTACATTCGCGTCGCCTCTCGAACTGGTGAGGCAACCACAGCGTTGCTCGCCGGCAAATCAAAAGTGGCGCCGGTTGATCCGATAACCGTGCCTAGGTTGGAGTTGCTAGCAACCGTTCTTCTCGCGCGACTCATGGAGTTCGTAATCACGACGCTCAATCTCGTCAGCGTGCCCTGTCACTGCTGGACGGATTCTACCGTGACGTTAGCCTGGCTAGGTCACCCCTCCAAATGGAAAACATTCGTCGCGAATCGAGTGGCGGATGTTCACTCTCGACTCCCAAACGCGGAATGGCATCACATCTCAACGACCATGAATCCCGCCGATTGCGCATCGCGCGGGATTCTCGGCCACGAGCTTGCTTACCACAAACTCTGGTGGCAAGGACCTGACTGGCTTTGCCTCTCGCCTTCTGAATGGCCCAAGAGCGAGGGTCCCTTATCGGACGATGCAAATCATGAAGCTAAGCCAATTACATCACACATCGCTCAACCGACGGTGACGTGGGATCTAGCGTTTCGCTACTCGTCATGGCCCAAGTTGATTCGAATCACCGCCTACGTCATTCGTTTTACTCTCCGATGTCGGCAGAAATACACTTCTCGAGCAAGCACGTCCCCTCACTCTCTCGCTCTTTCTCCTCACGATTGTAAGCAAGCGAGACTGTTCTGGTTAAAATCTATTCAACGAGAAGTATTTCCCGAGGAGCGGCACCTCCTTATGAAGGGTCACCCGCTTCCCGCTCGAAGCTCTATTTTGTCTCTTAACCCATTTCTTGACGCGGATGAGCTTATTCGCGTAGGCGGCAGGCTGAGAAACGCTCCCTTATCGTTCAATGTGAAATACCCAATCTTATTATCGTCCCATTCGTTAGTTACCTTGATTATTCGTCAAGCACACCTTCGATCCCTTCATGCAGGCTCGCAGCTCACCATCGCCACGTTGCGACAGGAATTTTGGATTCTCCGAGCCCGCAATCTAGTAAAATCTGTTATCCATCAATGTGTAGAATGTACTCGCGAAAGAGCCGCGATCCCGTCCCAGTTAATGGGCAACTTGCCAAAGGTTCGCGTGTCTCCCTCAACTCGCGCCTTTTTGCACTGTGGAGTCGACTATGCGGGCCCGGTTGCCGTTCGAGCCTCCGCCGGCCGCGGAATCACCTCTCGCAAGGCTTATATCGCGGTATTCATATGCCTAACGACGCGCGCTATCCATTTAGAATTAGTCGGGAGCTACAATACGTCCGCGTTCTTAGCTGCATATTCGAGATTTTGCGCACGACGAGGATTACCGATATCCATGTACTCCGATAATGGCACAACCTTTGTCGGCGCCAATAAAGAGCTCAAGTCCGCATATAGAGCCGCTCTTCAGAACCCCGATTTTTTAAATCGCACGGCTTCCGATGGAGTATCATGGCAGTTCATCCCTCCTCACGCCCCTCATTTCGGGGGTTTGTGGGAAGCGGGAGTGCGGAGCATGAAGCATCATCTTCGCCGCACCCTCGGGTCTCACACCCTCACCGTTGAAGAGTTCACGACTATGTTATACCAGGTTGAAGCCTGTCTAAACTCTCGGCCTCTGGGACCATTGACTGATAGTCTGTCTGACTACGAACCCCTAACGCCTGGCCACTTCTTAATCGGCTCGGCGATTACGACAGCGCCCGAACCGTCGCTTCTCGACCTCAATGAGAATCGATTGTCTCGTTGGCAGCTTGTCCGCCAGATCGCCGAACGGTTCTGGAAACTCTGGAAACATGACTACGTCAATACTCTTCAGCAAAGAGTCAAGTGGCGCAAGCCACAGCCATCGATCCAAGTCGGGCAATTAGTTCTTCTTCGAAATTCCGCATTACCCCCCTGTAAATGGGAGCTAGGCCGAGTGACTCAATGTCATGCTGGTACCGATACCTTAGTTCGCGTGGTCACAGTCAAAACCGCAACTTCCGAGTATCAGCGGCCGATTGAGCAACTGTGCTTATTACCGATCGACGTGAATCCGCCTGCTATAAATGAAAATTAGGATACCGTCTTGTCTCCGTCAAGTTTCTTTTTGTCCCCCTCTTTTCTTTTCTTTCTCTTCTGTGTCTTAAGGCCCTACGCGTAATGTATCCGTTATGCCATGGCGGGCGGCATATTCTTTAGTGCTTAAGTTACTATATTGTACAACCACTCGCTTCGAACTCGACCGTTTCCGATTCTTGACCACGCATCGTTGGATTCGAAACGAACGTTTCGAGGCGGGCGGTTTATGTTAAGGAATTATACGATTATATTCAAAGAAGTTTATGTGAAGAAATCTGTCTCTCTCGATCTCTGAAAACAACGTTAGAAAGTAAGTTCAGAATTCTCGAGTTGTCAAGCCTCGACGGAGATTCGCCGCTCGGAGTTACCGGCAACTCGAGGATCGCGCCGATTTCGCATGTCACGCGCCTACACGTGATCGAACATCCCTCTCGAGCGTGATCGACGTGAAGTCGATCCTGTGCGCGAGGGAAAGGACAGTCAGTCGTCGTAAGAATTTGGCTCGTGTCGGTCGATGCCACGTCGCGTTGAACGTTGTATATCGCGAGGGCGAAGCTGCGTCGCGACAAGA